TCGTGTAAACCGTGCCTGATTGAGAATTTAGTATCATGTGGTTCCTTTTTCGTGAACCGTTTAATGGGAACAAGTGGTTCGATCATTCTTAATTGTGTGAGCATGGGGTGGGAGATCAACAGTCGTGTTTCTTTGTAAGGTAGGAACGGTTCATGAGACTTATTAACAAACAATTTGAGATCGATGAATGAATGAATGAATGAATAACAATTGGCCATTGTACCGAATCCTGGAGTTATAGCTTACGATGGTAACATTATTACGAATGCTAAAGACTGTCGGAGAGATATGTATATGAGTATGACTGTGAAGTAGCAATGAAACAATCTTAATGGTTGACACTACTCATTACCAACTGAGAGAGATACATTATGCACCACTGCCTAGTAAAAGGGGAACCATTTATGAATAGAAATGAAAAAGGAACGAGTGAATTGAATATAAAGAACCAATGAGTTATGATATGACCGAAACAACACCATAGAGGCTGGAGTATACAAGAGAAATAGAGAGAGAATCCAGAGCAACAGGGAGTAAAAGTATTTGATTTTAGCTAGTATATTCTCAATCGTTCAAGTGATTGTGAAATACCATTAGAAGACTCGATGTACTTAACTTGAAAATATTAAGCCGGTCAAGATTCGCCCGCTTGAGGCATTCAGTCTAGGGAAATCCAATGTATGCAAAAAAGGTAAGACTACAAGCACCAAACGATAGCCAATGCAAATTCTGGAGAAGCTATCATTAAATTGATTCAACTCCAAGTTTCTACCGATATCCCCCTCTTATACTCTGAGATAAGATATTGCTACATGAGGAGCACAATGTATTATGCTAATATGATGCTCTAATGATTAATACCAGCAATATTCGAATACTGTGTGTATCTTTGTTCATCTCGCTCGCTCTCATTTTCTCGATCGTAACAGCCCAATCCCGTTACATCGTACCAAAATGTCTACCCCGTCCGCTTCTCAACCCTTGCAATTTATTTCATCAATTTTGCGATGAAAGGGTGCTTCAATGCTTCCGTGGGTGTTATTCGTTTTTCTGGATTGAGCGCCAAACATCTTTCCAGTAAGTCCCCAAACAATGTCAACTCCTTCTGTTCAACCTCTGTCAGCCCTTTTGATGCCGAAATTAGACGAGTTCGAAGGTCTCTGCTTGGCTTTGCGAATGTCATTGTCTTAACGACATCCTTGCCAGTTAATTTGTCTGGTTCAACGCTTCTGAAATTCAGCATGTCGTCAAAATGAACTCCGGCAAAATCGGCTTTTTTCAACATCTTGACTGAAAACTTTCCGCGGCAATCCATGATGGAGCGTAACATCTGATTATTTGATCTACCAGTGAATAGGATTTTACCGGTATACAATTCGTATAAGGTGCATCCAATAGACCAAATATCAATGGCGAAGTCGTATTTCATGCCAAGAATAATTTCTGGTGCACGATAGAAACGAGAAACAAGATAGGGAGTAATCTCATTATCCGTTGCGTCTGAAGCGGATCCCAAATCACAAATTTTGAGCATATTGCGAGTTTCATTCACCTAAGCAACGAGTTAGAAAAGAAGATTCGTGAGTTGAAGTAAAACTTACCAAAATATTATCAGGTTTCAGATCAGCGTGTAAGATGTTGGCCTTCTTCATCAAGCTGAGCCCGAGAAACATTTGATGAGCATATGCTCGCACGGCCCTGAGATTGATACCAACATTGTTTCCGAATTTTTTCAGAACCTCACGCAAATTGATACTCAAATGTTCGAAAACCATACACAAATGGCCTTTGTGCTCAAAGTATCGTTCTAGACGTATCATATGTTTTTTGTCCTCGGGATCTGCATCTTTGATCTTTTCCAGAATCTCAATCTCTTTCATTCCAGCCTTCCTCCTATGATACTGTTAGCATTTCCGATTTTGGATGGGTGTAGATCAACTTACATAGTCTCGTTATTCCTGATGAGCTTAATTGCGACCAACTTTTTGGTGGTAATGTCCATAGCTCGAACCACGCCCGAGAACATACCCTTTCCAAGATTTGCTTGGACATGATATCTACCATTCAAAAGTTCACCAAGAATAATCTTGTAATAACCCTCAAGATCATCCCAATTGTCGAGCATGCCGACGTCGAGCTCTTTAGCCTGTGGAATAGGCACTGCTTTGGCAACATCACCATTCGTGATAGCTTGAGGCTTATCATCCGCAACTGAATCTTCGGCAAACATGTCGTCGTCGTCATCGTCTGCAAACATATCAAATTCGTCCTTCGATTTTGGAGCTTTGACTTCAGCGGGTGCGATTTCTGCAGGAAGGAGGACATCTTGTTCAGATGTTGGCTTCGTTTCATTGTATGCCCCAGAGGATACCTCATCAAAATGTCGTTGTCCGTCGCGCTGTCTATCTTCTCTCATATCCATAGTTGGATCATAATCTGCGGCTGAAGGTCCATCCTCCTCATCTGCTGTTGGAACTCCGTGTGAGTTGGCAAGATCCCGATCATCCGTGATTGCGAAAGCGGAAGGAGATCCTGGGTCCATAGGGGTCCCGGGAGTCGAGACGGTGGGTGAAGCTGAGGTTAACGAATCAGAGAGGAATTCGCAACACGGTGTAATCTGCTTACCGGTTGGGCCTGTAGGGCTATCATCTTCACCTTGTCCAGGAGTAGATCCTCCGGATTTGTCTCCTAAGTGCAAAGCTTGTACTAACAAGGGTGTACCAGAACCTCGATACTTAGCTTTAATTGCCTCGCGGCGCTTACGTCGCTGTTCTATGAGTGTAGCTTCATCAATTGGCTCTTCTTCAGGAACTTCATTAGAAGCTTCCTCAGCAGGGGAAGATCTAGGTTGCATCAGTAAATGCTCAACACGAAGGGATTGATCAATAGCATACATATCCATCTCACTTCCATCACGATGATGTTTATGCTGTTGCAATTGCCCTTGAGTAGTTTTAGCCTCATATCTCGAATTATCAGTAGGCAGCGGGCCCTTTCCCCGATTGCTCACTGACTGGTCTCTTGAACTTCGGTATGAACCTCCATACCCATAAGGCTTGTTTCTATCCGCATAGTCACCATAGCGGTTGCCATTGTTTACTGATTGTCCATTTCGTCCACTTCTATCTCCTTCACGATTAGCTCGGTAAGGCGAACGACTTCTGGTTCGAGGACGTTTTTCGGGATGCCTATCCCGATGATCATGATCGTCATATCGTAGTTCGGATGAATTCGTTGGCCCCTTGTCTATGTCTTCGTATGAAACCCGTGCGCGGCGTCTATGGTCTTGAGAATAATCTTCGTAATGAACCTTGAATCGTCTTGAATCGTTTCTGCTACGGTCTGGGTAGTCGTCATCTCTAGGTCTCTTCGAACCTCGAGAGTGTCGATCAGAATAAGGGGAACGACTTCTTTGATCTCTAGATCTATATAATTGTTCGGGGGAGCGTGGTGATAAAGAAGTCGTACTAGAACGGGTTCTGTCTTGACGGTCAACGGAAGTGCTACCGGGTGTACGCAGCGACGTAGTTGCCTTCTTCTCCACTACTCCATCACGAATCTCGCCCTCGTCAGAGCTTGCTAATGATGCCGTCATATTCCTTGTTGTAATTGTAAGGACGAAAGCGCCCCCTGCCTTTAGATTTGGATAAATGTGTGTCAGCCAAAGATCACAAACAAGATCCCAAAGTGAGAAGAGCCCAACCGGTTATCTCTCAGCGCATAATTTTCTTCTTTGCTTTGGTTTGCTTTGGCAGTATGAAGGTAGAGGATGAGTCTTAGTGTAATAGAAAAGAGTATAAGAGAGTGAAGTATCAATTATTGGTTTGACTGCCAAGTTGTTGCTGTGTATGTGGCTGTACAACTGAAACTGATAAATTCAACATCTTGCATGACGGTCAGTTGCAGCTGCCATATCGATAAACACATTAATCCAAATGAGGCTAGGTTGATTTTGCATCCACCTTGTCAGCATTCTTTTAAGAAAACCCGCAAACATACCCTTCCCCCACCAAAAAGTGCCTCGAGAAGTCCAGAATAATTCCGCATTTCTTCCACCAAAAAAGACGATCAATTATTCCAAAAGGTCACCCAAAAAACCGATAAATTTAATTTAAAATGGGAGGAAGTTCGTATAATCTTGTTCATCCTTCTCCGGCCGCATGATACTGACCGAGATACCTAGACGGGACAAACCCTATCCACAACAAAGTGAAGAAGAAGGTCAAGGTTGAGGATGATGATGAGACCATCGCATTCAAGCAGAAGCAGAAGGAGGGTAAGTAACTCTGTATTCCCACCATCTAGTATAACATCTCATTGACAATCACTACTTCAGACAAGGCGAGGCAAGACAAATTAGCCAAGGAGATCAGTGGACAGAAGGGCCCCTTGAAGACCAAGTCGCACGGCATTTCCGGCAGCGGTGGTAAGGGAAAGAAATAAATGGGGGTTCAGTTCTATGCGCGATGGATTATTGAGTTTACGAGATATTTGAGCAAAGGCGTGGATAATACGGCGTATGGGTTTGATGGAGGATTTTCAGACTTGTGTGATAAGGCTTCGAGCTGAATATGGGGAACCATTCACCACGACGGAGTAATCTATTCAATATGCTTAGGCATACTAGGTATTCTGGACAATCTATATTGATCCAGAATTTATGGATAAATGCAGGCTTGTTTCAACTGTGAAAGTGTTTCTATTATTGACTTCCAAAGATGGCTACAACTTCGCCGCTTACAGGCCCATGAAAATGTTCGCCGACTGTGCTTGTGTGATGGATTCATGGATTTAAGGCATTTGAAAATTCTGCGCCTCCCCCTTCCCCATATCATACACGAAGATATAAATATTAGAGGGTGGATCGTTGCGGATGATCGTGGTCACCGGTCTGCCGCCCCACGGCCATCAAACCCCTCGGCCACGGCCGCTGCTTTGGTATCAGCTCCAAGCCAATACCATTAGTACTTTTGTTCTTGTTGAGGACACTCATAATTTAATCAGTATTGTCCATATCGCACTACATCATACAAACTAGAATCTCGCTCTGCCTGTGCCTTCTTCTCAACTTTCGCTTTCATGGCTTCCCTGGCTTTGGTTCGCTGCCTTGCCATTCCAATTTTCATCGCGTTCCTCCAGTTTTCGACCACGAAGATTTTGACCAACTGAATGTTGTAAAATCCGTTCTCGTCCCTGATTGCAGCTTCAGGAACAGCCCCTTCGTATAGTTCTCCTTCCATAATGACACCCTTCAGAACTTTTGTAGCTGCCGACCTTGTTTGATTATCACCTCCGTCAACCGGAATATTAGCTTTGATACCGTCATTCATCACTTCCACTAGATGTCTTGCAAGATTCCAATCGTGTCGCCTGGTTTCGTATTCCTCCTTGACGCCAAATTTCTTGAAAACTTCATCGCGAATTTGTTCCCTCGTGATTTTTGTATCACTATACTTTCCTGCTTCTCGACACATAGGGATGAATTCATCAACCCAAGCTCTAAATATAGGTCGTTTTACCAGACGTTGACGATCATTGTGCTTTAGCTTTTTCTTTCCCTCTACTCCGCCCTCTTGGCCTCTCTCGGCAATACTGCCAGTGGCATCTCCTTCCGCTGCATCTTCGGCCACATCTCTGACCCAGAACATTCGACAAGTTGCGGCATATTCAAACATTTCCTGCTGAGTACTGAAACGTTTCCACCACTTTTCTTGATTCAGCCCCAAGAAGCCCAGTATCTCGGCCGGATTGTCAGTCAGAAATACCATGCTCTTCTTTCTGTCTGCCAACTCGATTTCGGGGATGCGAATGAAAAATGCGCGGTTGTTGATAGTAAGTCCAAACCCTCTGATCGTGGTGCCAATGATGTTCCATAGGTCGCCATGAGCAGAATGAAACAGTACCCAGTCAAATTCATGCTCGCTTTTACATATATGTACATCGACTTGAACGTACCTGCTCGCCAGCGAAACATTTGTAGATTCAGGCACATTCTTTCCATCACCAGTGATAGTATGGTCTGGCCAAGGAACCGCAAAATTGATGGTAGGATTGCCTTTTTCCTGCACCAAGGCTTTGGCATTCAAAGCTTTCTTGAGCTCATCCCCGACTCGATCTTCAGAAGAAAACGCACCCTCCAAAGGTAATGCAACAAGGATGTCGACATCCCCATACGTAGTCTTGCCAGGTCCCTCAATAGCACTCTCAACTTTGGAGTAAAATTTGCGTAGAATTGCTTGATTAAGTTTGAGAGCTTCGTCGTAGACTTCCTGAGTCATACGGGGCGTCTTGATGGGTGGAACCTGAGAAGAAAACGCGTGGCCTCCCATTGTCTCAAGAAACTACAGTAGAAAGAAAGCACGATTGAAGAAGAGAATATTCCTTGCTTAAACAAGTGTTGGAGATGTAAGGTTCATGTGCAAATTCTATAAGCCACACTGAACGACGACAAGCATTGTGCTGTGCAAACATGATATGAATTGTGATGGAAGTAGAATGTGCAAACCTAGAGAAGTAAAACAAACCATTAAAGGAAATCAGAATGGGAACCGAAAAAAAAACTCCAACCACAGCTCTCCCTCTCTTCTGTACGATGTCAGAAATGGCGAGGCCGTTTACATGGTAATTACGGAATAGTTGAAGACATTCAGACGTAGGAACATTTTCAACTAGATTTATGCCCATGTTATTATTTTTTTGATCCGATTGTTCCGTAAGTCTTGGGAATTAAAAGATTCCACTTCGAATCATCTCATCCTCGCTATTCTCGCCAACCCTCGTCTCTGCGGGGATTTACCAGGGAAGAAAGGAATGATCAAGAAAGTCATCGGTGGTCATCATCTCGCAATTGTCTTTGCCATACTATTTAATTGGGTAAGAGAACAACAAAGTCGTCATTACTGCGCCTCTACGCCTCAACATTGTCAAGATCCATTGGTATGCTTGATTTGTATAATGATTGAATTCTAAGCGCTATGTGACTGGTCACCCCTCATTTGACCTCTGCCATAGCCCCGCGAGGATTCTTGACCTTACGGTTTGCCTTCTGCACAGCTTCGCGATAAATAACACTTGAATCCTTCTGCTCTACCTACTTTTACCGGCTTACAACCACACTTTGAGTCAACTTACAATTACAGGCATACATTTCTCACAGAATAATAAAAGCGCAAGAATGTCATATCAAAATTATCCTCCGTATGGTGCACCGCCGGCTGGACGTGAGTAAAATCTACATTCGTATTTGCGACAATATCTGACTTGAGCGCAGTTGCCCCGCAATCTGGATACCCACCACAAATACCCCCTCGTCGTATGTGAATTGACGTTTGCGACAATGTAGCACCTGTTGACTTTGAATATTAGATTCTCCTCAGCCATATCAGCAATACCCTCCTACCCAACCTCCATATCCTCAAAATTCATATGGTGCTCCTCCACAGCAGCCTCCATATCCACCGCAGCAACAACCCTACCAACAATATCCTCCCCAACAAGGTTCCTACCCACAACAGCAACCATATGGCGCACCTCCACCAGGTCCGCCGGGACATTATCCCCCGCCGCAATCATCGCCTTATCCTCCATCGCAAAGCGGATATTCTCAACCACCATATGGCGCTCCACCCCCAGGCGCACAACCTCAATATGGTGCGCCAATGGGCTACGGACAACCTACTCCACCTTCAGCCGGATATGACCTGAACTTGCCAAGCCCTCCTCGCATACCCTACGATGGACGCGCAGATGCGCAGGCGTTGCGCAAAGCTATGAAAGGTTTCGGTACTGATGAAGCGACTCTTATCGAGGTATTGCACAACAAGGGACCTTTGCAAATAGAAGTTTTGCGACAAGCTTTCTTTGATACTTTCAAGAGGAAATTGTTGGCAGATGTGGAGAGCGAAACAAGCTCGTATTTCAGGGAGGGTCTCGCTGCGATAATTCGGGGTCCCTTGATACAGGATTGTCATTTGCTTTATTCCGCCATGGACGGAGTAGGTACAAAGGAGAAATACCTGACTGAAGTGTTGATGGGCAGGTCAAATGCCGATATCAATGCGATCAAGTCAATGTATCAACGCCGATACAAGAGGAGTCTGGCAGTCGATATCAAAGGTGATTTGAGCATGAAGACAGAGGATCATTTCTTGATGGTATTAGAGGCCAATAGGAACGAGGAGAGTGCGCCAGTAATCCCTCGCGATGTTGACCGAGATGTGGCATCCATATGGAATGCGACAGAGGCCATACGTGGACATGACGCAAAGACCGTTTGTGAGATATTCACGAAACGAAATGATGCTCAGTTACGAGCAATCAATCACACATACCAGCAACAACATGGAAAACCATTGGAATGGGTTATCAAAAAGGTAAGCAGATTCATTGCAAATATATTTAGAAATCTCACTGACTCCCTGGACAAGAAGTTCAGCGGCCACATGGAGGATGCCCTCCTCTATCAACTTCGCACAGCTTCGGACAAGGCCATGCGTGATGCAAACCTCATGGAGGAATCCATGAAAGGTTTTGGCACAAAGGATAAATTACTTGTTGCTCGAGTCGTCCGATGTCATTGGGATCCCAAACACATGGATCAAGTCAAGGGTGCATATCAACATGCCTACGGACGATCTTTGGCATCCAGAATTTCTGCGGATACAAGTGGTTATTATGAGAAACTGATGGTGAAATGCGTCGAGTGTAGTAATTTGGTACAGCCTGGTTACACATGGTTCTAGATCATTTGCATCAAGAAGGTTTTGGTTTCATTTAGGATATTTATGATGTGTTTGGAGGTATGGTCTGTAGTTCTGACAACTTTGGGATTCGGTATTGGAAGGAAAGGCCATGAGATCAAGGGAATGGAGGGGTAATTGGGGATCTCCACCAGCGAGCAATCGCGATAGGTAGTACTTTTCGGTTATACGGCGTTTATCTAGGATAGAATTGGTGAGATGATACCAGGACCATCCAATATATGGTCCGAATTTATTTTGATTATTTCGCGACTATTTCAATCTACTTTCCAATGACTTTCAGTGCGTACAATATTTTGTCTGTTACCTGTTACACTCATCACTTGGCTTGAACGCAAGTATGTACGCTAGCAATTGACCACCCCGCCAGTCGAAGAAAGTAGGAAAAACACTGTACCGTGTCATACTAGAGTAAATTGCTAGTCACTATTCGTGCCTCAGTTTTGAATGCGAAAGAACTGTTGTGAATAATTAATATTGCTAGCTATCTTTTGAAAAATATGGAAAATGAAGGAAAACCGAGCATTGGATAATATTAATCAACTGTACTAATCAAATCATGACTGGATGACTATAATATAGAATGACTATACTACATGTACTCTACGGTCTCATCGGAAGAGTTTCATTCGGCGGTTTCAGAGACTTGTCTTGTGAATGATTGGTTTCGTGAGTAAGGATTAATAACAAATTGATGGATATAGTAGGTAGATAGGTAGATAGGTAGATAGGTTCCTAGATGGGAATTATACGTACGTACATACATAATACATACATAGGTAAGATTACATATGGATATGAGTGTGTCACAATTTCGGTAGCTAGGGAGAGATCCACCATTCATATACACATAGAGATACAGACAAGACAAGTAAATGAAACTCAGAGAGAGAGATGATATGGGATTGTTCTATATATTCTTCTATCGTTCTCTGAGGGACGAAGTGGGCATGATTTATTGTAGGTAAATAGACAGATAGACAGACAGATAGACAGATAGACAGCTAGATAGATACATAGTAGATAGATACTTACTACAAGTATCTATATCTATCTGTCTAGATACTCTTGAATTAATGCTTACTCGCCGAGTTCTCTATATTCCATTATAGATCCAGGTATTTATTAGTTTCATACTATTACCTGCTGGGCTGCTTGTGATCAAACCTATCTATCCTACTTAGGTAGGTAATAATACAAACCCTAATCAATTAGGTATCTCATGTCATGAAGACAACTAATAACAATAATCAGTTATTATAGCGAGTACACTGCATCGTAATGAGTAATGAAATTGAACACCAAATCAGCGGCAATTAAATAAATGAATTGTTGTTGCTGTTCGGATAGATACTTCATCAACTCAAAAATTAACGACTCCTTTCTACCGAGTACACTTCCTTCTAGCCTGCTATTACCACGGTAAGTGGTGTATTGAATTCTTCGGAAATTATAATTATTCTAGTATCTATCTACTATCATATTCTTTGATCTCTTTCGATTTGACTGTTAAAGACATTCTTCATTCTTCATTTATTAGTTTCCTCATTTCTTTAATTACTTATCATATTACTCACTATATTTGGAGCAAATAGGCAAGGGCCCCAACGCTAGCAAATTTTAGCTTCGTATAGTTTAGCTTTTATTAACTTTCTTTTGCTTTCTTCATCATCAACATTTACTCTTCTCTTCATTTTATTATCATTCTTATACGCTCACTCACTTCATCAACATTAATCCTCTCCCTTGACCTTCTTGACAAACAAATAACGCTAGATTCATAATGGAAGCTCTCTGATTAATACGGTTCACTGTGAGTACCGACCTAATCTCTTTTCCTCTGATGTTCTTGATACGAGAATACGTCTCAGGCTCTCGGCAATTTGTTCATGAGATCCGTTTTGCATAATCTTCTGATTAGGAATACCTGGGTACTAATAATAAGTACGTCTGAATATAGATCGATTATTCCACTCGAGGAACACTTGTTGCAGACTTGCGACATCTTACTTTTCTTCTGAACCCCTATTGACCCTACGTTATGGATATCTAAAACCCTCACATTACTCTTCACATTACTCTTCACATAATAACGGTCCAGGTACTTTTTCCTTTCCTTGATTCACTCCCTTTCGACCCTCGACCAATTAAACGATTCTTTTATACCACAGTCACATGATACTTATAATAATAATAATTTATAGTGTCATTATTATAAGATTGACAAAATTCACCTTTCCGCCTTTTACTATTACCATATTAGGCCCGAATAATTTCAGTCTGTTCAAAACTATCCTCTCAATCAACACAAATCTTTGAGGGTTTGTGATTACCTCGATCAAACAAATCAATCATTATTCTTTTCTTAAACACGTGGATTCCACGTGTGTGATAGATCAAATGCCTCCAATACGTCTTGATGAGAGTGATGACGACTCTGAGCTTTCGGACGTTGATGTAGCTGAGATCGCCAGTGTAGCTCTCTCAGATACTCCAGGATCTACAGTAATTCCAACATCCACAAATTTACCTGAACATAATGAGATGAATAGGGATGAGTCCCCTCTCGAGTCTCAAACCATTGCAGCATCATCGAACCCGGATGAGGATGGTGGAACCATCGATCTTGATACCCGTCCACCACCCGAGGACAAAGCCGATCTAGGAAAGAGTGTAAAGGCGGAATCTGAGTCTCCCAAACAAACTAGATTGCCCATACAAAATTCTGGACGTCGAGGCAAGAAGGCATCCACCGAACAGGAGTCTGGAATTAATCCGTCGGAACAACCATCGAACAGTCTGAAGAGAAAATCATTTCCAAGTGACTCTCCCAAGAACGCTTCCACGAGTCCTACAGCACACAGACAACTTCGTCGTCCAGATCTTGCTACGCCAACGCCAAGGCAACCCTCTATAGCGACCTCTGAGCGTCAGTCCACCCGCCACCACGAATCGCCATCCCTTGCAAAAATCCAAGAAGAAACTGCTCGTTTGCGGGAAGCTTTATTGCATGTGTCAACTGAAGCGACTCAAGAAATATTGAAGGAGCAGTGGAGAAATTTTCTTTTCACGAATGCAAAAGAGTCACACATCACATTCATTCTTCGAGCTGGATTGAAGAATGCTAGCCCTAGCGTTCTTGCACGAATCTATAACGACTCTGGTGTCATGAAAGATACCTTCTTGGAGACTATCACCTCTAAGCAACCGATTGTCGCTAGGGTCCTCAAGAGTGCTTCTGCAAACCAGCTTGCAGATCTCGTACCCAGTAAAGTTCTCGACCAGGCTCTTTCTGAACGGTTGAAGAGTGTTCCAGCAAAAACACTCATACGATGGCTGGCTGAGGCTGATAGACTTGGTTACAGTCTCGATGACATTCTGGACGAGAATGATGAGACTGTCGTACCAAACATGCCGAGTAGAGCGCAGAGTCATGATGGTGATGATAATAACGATGATGATGATGATGATGATACAGAAATGATAGATGATGGACAAAAGAAAGTGGAAGCTCCATCTTTGGATCCCCTTGTTGCTGAACAAGAACGAATCAGCGCCCTGCAAAAATCTCAAAACGATGTCCAAGCAAATCCACCACGCGAGTTGAGATGCCCCACGTGCACCTATAAGTTTGATACCATTAGAGGTCATAATTTTGTGAGTCTGAAATCATCATGATTCTACTTTAGAGCTAACAGCGATATAGCATCGACAAAAGAATATCTGCACTAGAAGTCAGCCTCCGGGATTGAAGTTTTATTGTGGTAATTGCGCTCAAGGTTTTACCACTAAGCAAGGAATGCTATATGTATGTTTGATCTATGTGACTTGGGAATTTTGCTGACTTGCCAAAGCATGAAAAGAAGCGTGTTTGCCTTGGGGCAGAGGGCAGTCCAGACGATGAAACGGTTTATCAAGACTACCGAGACATAGTTTCGAATTCGCCAAATCATCAATACGGACAACACCCTGACCACCCGCAGAATACATCATTTGGCAATATCCCCCGTCCACCTCTCCACACTCCAGGATCGCGCTCTAAGCATATCGAAGCGATCATCGCTGCATCTCCCTGGGACGGAGAGGCTCGTCACTCACCATCTGAATTGCCACCCGATAAACGTGCTGCTTTGGAGGACGCGCTCCAGAAAATCGAAGAAAAATACCTCGAGGATCAAAGCAAGATTCCGGAGGACTGGACCGCCGAGAAACGAGAGGCACGGCTTACCTCTCTCAAAAATGGAAACGCATCTCGTAAATCTCAAATTCGCAAGCAATTTGGTGTTACTCTTCGTATGCGCGACAGAGACAAGGAGGCAAAGAAAATACGTGATGTTTTGGGTTCCAATTCTCCAATGGTACCTACTGGCATGAATAGAATTGAATATCGTAATTCACCAACGGTTGCTGGCTATCCAGTAAACGCTCAGCAGCAAATACATCAGAATCAAACACCGGCCGGTATGAGAATGGAGATGGTGGATATGAGACCTGCTACAGGATTTTCGCCAATTAATGCACCACCGCAACACCAGCAACATCAGCAACACCAACAACATCCTCAGCACCAGCAATATTCGCAAGCACCACCAGGTCACCACCCAATGCAATATCCAGGTCCTCCTCAAGCTCAAGGTTTCCAACAAAATTTCCCACCTGTTCCACAACTTCTGTCACAGCCGCGTCCTAGCCCAGACCATCGAATGAGCCCACTTGGGTATCAAGGAGCTCCGGAACAAGCATACAGAGGACCGGAAGATCATGCAAACAAAAGACTCAAGCGTAATTCAAGTGCAGGAATGTCACGAGCAGATGAAGAAAGAAGCAGACATTTTGCACCCGCTGATTCGGCTCCCATGGGTATGAATGAGAGAAGGGCTTCTGGGGGTAGAACTCAGGCTTACAATGCTCCTGGAATGGTCGGCATGGAAAATCACAGATCCGGTTCCGCAGGAGCAAGTGGTGCTGTGATGGAAGGTGAGAGTAGACCAAATTCTGCAGGCTCAAGTAGTGTGCGCAAGAGGGTGCCTGTTGGGGCGTTGCAGAGGCAATGGGAAGCGTTGAATGGGAAGGGCCCGGGTAGGAAGACGGAGCTTGAGAGTAGGGCGGGAAATGTATTGATGAGTGGTGTAGACGGGGGCGAGAGAGCAAACGGACGAGTTGAAAATGGAAATGTGGTGGTGGTGGGTGAGAAAGGTAAAGAGCCAATGCGTGAGGGTGGTAGGAATGTGGTCGATTTGGTTAGTGATGATAGTTCGAGTGAGCGTGAAGCTGCGGGACCTGGTGGAGGAGAAAAGTAGATTTCTGGAGGTGCGGTGCCGTGCGGTGAAACTCCGAGGAGATTAGATATTTGTTCGATGGAAGCGTGGATTTTCATTTTTCATTCGTGGCTACTGGCCTTTTTTTTATACCTACCTACCTACCTACCTACCTACCTTTGTCAAACATGCTACTTTTGTTTGTTCTCTCGCTTGGAGAGGAAGTTGAGGAACCAGCGAGATAACGTTAGGGATTTATTGGAATCTACATCATTGCAGAAATGATAGATGGGGAGAGTGTCAACAAATGTATTGTATTCTGAATACCTCGATCTGCCTTTTTTTTTTTTTTTTTTTTCTGTGTTTTTTTTTTCTCCAAAATGATTTCGATAAGTCTTTAACCTTATGCGATATGATATGATATAATACGTTACGATACGATTTTTAATGATGATAGGATAGGTAGTTTGCTTCTGCTTCTGCTTCCAAAATCGTAGCGGTAGAAATCGTACGTAGTTTACTTAGTTCAAGAAATACAGATAGATAGATAGATGCTAAGCTGATTACCTAGGTACTAGGCTAGGTAGTTGATACGTACGGTGAAATGGTTGGATGGTGATTTGTATTGTATGTATTTGATACTATTGGTGATGTGATGTTGATTGGATGGATACTGGGTATGTATGTATGTATGTATGTATGTGCAACCTGGAAGGTTAGATTGATTATTACTTTGAATACCTAGGTATGAATATTTATTTCTACTCGTGTTTTAGTTGTTTTGATGGTTTGATTGTTTGTATTTATTTATTTATTTATATATATATTTATGTATATTTGATTAAGCTAAGCTTCACCAAGGAAAATCTAAGCTTGGGAAATCATGAAAATATGAAAATGGGTAGGAAAAATGCTTAAATGCTTGAATGCTTGGGGGAGATTGGGAGATTGTTTTGGGGAGTGGGTTGGGGTTGGTTGATTGGTGGGTAGATGGATGGGTAGGTGGGTAGATAGGTATCTTGTAATGTGCAATATGTGCAATATGTGTAATTCACATCTTCATTCTATTCTGGATTGTGGATTTGAGAAAGTTGGGAATTGGAGTTGGGAATTGTAAAGAGTGTGATGCGATGGAATGCGATGCGATGGGGTTGATAATTTTGAGGGAGGAATGATTTAGTACGGTACCTATCAAAAAAAAAAAGCAGCTTACATCTCATCATCTAATCATCTATCTAATTATCTATAATCCACAATCCATCTTATCAGATCAGATCATCTCCCCTCATTCTTCATCCGTTCTCCATTCATTCTCCATCCTTCATTCTCCATTCCCTATTCTCCATCAATCACAATCACGATCTCGAAACCCACCACATATATACCCACAATCCCCCACCAATTCCCACCCACACAAACCATACATACCTCCCTCTCTACCTTCCCTTCCCTACCCTTCCCTCCCCAAACCCCAACCCATCCAAACACCTATCTACCACCTACCTACCTACCTGCCTACCCCAAACCTACCCACCCACCTACCTACCTTCCACTGCCGGCGCGCCAAGCGCTTGCCAACCCCGGCTAAATGTAATCTGGAAATGCTCCTTCCCAAACGGGTAATTATAGTGAGTATGGATAATCGCGGGGTCTTGGTATTTCTTGGGGATTTCTGGATTTCTGGATATTGCTGGATATTGCTGGATATCTCTGGATGAGTGGTTTGGAGGGGGGTTTCCAAGAGCTGGCGTAGAGGAGGCCAAGAGATAAAGAATTTGGGGGTTTGGCTTTGGGTGCTAGGTGTTGGGGTGGCTTCTGGGATTGGAGATGGGAAATTGGGAGGTGGTATGGAGGGTTAGGGTAGGGATAGATTGGGGTTTGGAATTTGGACGGGGGGGGGGGGGAGATTGGGAAGGGGATGTGAGAGAGGGAAGGTGGATGGATGGGTTGGATGTGTGTGTGGATATTTGAGTGGTGGGATATTGAGAGGAGAGGGGAGATCGAGAGAGGATAGAAGGTAAAGGAGAGATTTGGGAAATGCATGTGATAGTGTGTCTATGGACGAAATTGGGTTGGAACGTTAATTGAGATAATGGTAACGGGATTTATTTTCTGGCTGATTGGATGGGAGGTAGATCGAGTTGGATTTGTTTGGGTTCTGGACTGTAGTCTATAGAAGAGAGGGGCAGATATGTAAGTACATCTAAGAATAGCAAACCAGTGATTTTATTCCCTTCCTATAGATAACCTTATGGTGAGTATCTTCATCCCCGCATCTACCATTCTATAGGCTACAACTTACGCGCTCTTCACAAGGCTACATCGGGAGTTGAGCATGGAGATCTGTTATATCCCGCCGCCTTCTTCTTTGGGGTGATATGATGTGGTACTGACTTGAACCACGATATCAATCTCCTCCTCGCCGAGCCACCACCCCATGAATTAAGAAGGAGATAAGCTGTCTTCTTCAACTGACACCATGAAGCTATTGAGGGCCCCAAAAAAGGAAAGTGATAATTCTCAAATCCAAAGATTTGAGGATCCACAAATCGAGCTCCTCATGAATATAAATCTGAAGCCATCACCACTTTCTCAGTCTCATCAGCACTTCCAATCCACTCCTCCATCTCCAGTATCCTCCTAACACTGTACGACTCTGTACCACCGCACCTTCGCAATGGCACCAATTCTCAACTTCGCGCTCGCTCTTGCGATGCCCATCCTTTCATTGGCTGCTGCCCTTCCAACCGGAGCTGAGCTTGAAAACCGTGCTACTACTCTCGGAGGAACTCCTGATATTGTCGGAGGAACCACCGCTGCTCTTGGTGAATTCCCCTACATTGTCAGCTTGTCCTACAGTGGCTCTCACTTCTGTGGTGGTGTCTTGCTCAACGCCTACACCGTTCTCACTGCAGCCCATTGCTCTGTCAGCTACTCGGCTTCCTCAGTTAAAGTTCGTGCGGGAACTTTGGTACGTTCTCATCTTTCATCTGTACTTTGTCAAACGCAAGATTTAAGAGAGCGTCTATTCGAATCACTCCGACGATCCACATTTCGTACTTTTAGGTACACGTAAACTGACTTTTGTATAGACCTGGGCATCCGGCGGAACCCAAGTTGGTGTTAGCAAGGTTGTAGTCCACCCATCCTACAGTTCCTCCACCACCAACAACGACATTGCGCTCTGGCATTTGTCGACTGCTCTCCCAGCCAGCTCCACCATCGGCTACGCCAAGTTGCCCGCTCAAGGCTCCGATCCCGTTGTTGGTTCTACCACCACCGTTGCAGGATGGTAAGTGTTTCCGAAGCTTCAGCAAAGTTTGTCTGGAGAAAAAGCGCTAATTTGAAAATAGGGGTCTTTTGACTGAGAACGGATCTACATTGCCATCAACTTTGAGAAAGGTCTCGGTTCCAGTTATCTCCCGTGCTTCTTGCCAAGCTGAGTATGGTACATCTTCCGTTACCACCAACATGTGGTGTGCAGGATATGCTGCAGGTGGCAAGGATTCCTGCTCTGGCGACTCTGGTGGACCAATCATCGATGCTGCCACTGGTGTTTTGGAGGGTACTGTCTCCTGGGGTCAAGGTTGTGCTGAGGCTGGTTACGCTGGTGTCTACGCCAGAGTTGGTAACTATGTTACTTACATCAACTCCAACCTCTGGACCAGTTTGTAAATATGGAGAAGATGATATAGTGGAATGTTGAGAGGAGGAATATGGGCGGGCAAAAGTTGGTAGCATGGAAGGTAGGATAGAGATGGGTGGTGGAGCAGCTATAGTATGATGAGTTAGGCTTAGTCTAGGGAATTTTATTTTGCTGTCCCAATTTTACATACTTTCAGTGAGAATCGGCCACCTTGGAATCATGATTGAAGTTTGGATGATGCCGAAAGGCCCTAAAAGCACAACTTCAATGTATCAAGAGGCACTGGATATTGGTTCCAATCCTCGTTTACAATAAAGTCTAGATCTCGAGGCTCTTGAATCATTGAGATTTGCAATCCATCAACATTCAAGAGGAATGATTGTGTAACTATTCATTATTAGCAAAGATGTACAAAACTATGATACTGCCGTGGGAATATCTCACCAGTGACTCCTCGCTCTCATAATCCATTTGCGACTCTTCGTAGAATTTGTATCGATACTGTAATCGACCTCGAGTAATCCAATCAATACCAATGACCCAAGCTAAGATACAGTAAATGACACTGATGTAATTCATATCTAGGATTATAAGCTCGAATCGCCATGACGCTATTATGAATACTTACTAGATGCGGTCACCGGAAGATGTATTGGAAATGAGAACCTGCAAGATATAATGTTAATATTTCCCAGATAAGATAGAATGGATGACTTACATGACAAGTGCAAATAATGTCCAAACGATTGTCACTAGGTTGGCAATATAGCCAAACTTACCAAGCCAAAAGGGTCCATGTGAGATTTTATCGCGACCCTTATGAAGCAAGCATAGAAGAGGGATGCTGTAAGATATATACGGGAGGACAATACAGCCAATGATCATGCTGTGGAATGTGTTAGAACTGAGCACTAATTATTCACGGGATTATGTAGAACTCGCCTATTGAAAGCAGTTGTTGATAGTAAATATAGAAATCCAAGTATAGCAACGACTGTTGCGCTCATGGCGTGTGCTCGAAATGGGACATCTAAAGTAGTATTAATCTTGGCTAGAGATCGGTGAAATGGAACACCTCCATCTCGAGCAAAAGTCCAGCAAAGTCGGGATTGCAAAGTATGACATGCGATCAGACAACCAATTCCTGTTGCCATGATAAGAGACTCGAGGAATATTGCAGCAGATCGATTTCCGACTGACTGATAGAACAACTCCAGAATCGGCACTTTTGTAAGCGTTCCGATAACAGCATCAAAGTTGTTGAGACTGAAGAACATCGCAATAACGAAAAACCACGCAGTCGTAAATCCAATTGCTATGGTAGCCATGATTGATATTGGGATTACTACTTCTGGTTGATGAGCTTCTTCTGCTAGGTGCACAGCGCTATCAAGGCAAGAAAATGCCCAATTTGCGTTTACGAGGCCGACAATGAAAGCAATACCATTGTTTGACCAACCCGTATTGTTAATGAAGGTTGCGAAGACAAATTTAATGTCTTGATGCGTTGGGGCTTGTGATGGCACAAAAATAAGAATAATCCCAAAGGAAATCAAAGACATATAAAGAGTAATGGTCCCAAGTGTCGGCAATATTTTACCGTAACAATTGAATAGAAAAGTAAATAGATTGACTACTTGATATGCAATAAAGATGTGCAATTCATGGATAATACTATTGACGAGTTAGTCTATGACTGTGAACTTAAGACAGACTGGACCTGGAGAACTCACAAATCCGAGTGATTCAATTGCCAACATCCAACTGCTGCTGATGCAACTGCCAATGATACACTGGCTGATGCAAATAAGGACCCAGCCCATGCACAGTATCCGGTCACAAATGACAAAGGCCTGGCATATTTCTTGGGAGCCAGTTCCATGACCCAAAAATGTTGTCCTGCAGCATTTGGCATTGCACTGGCTAATTCTGATAACGAGCATCCTACAAAAACACTCACGAAGGCAACGAGAGGTATTCCATACACAAACAGGGCAGGGCCGCCAGAATCTATGCCAGTGATTAAAGCACTCGAAATTCCAAACCAAGAGTTTGTGAGAGAGAACCCTTCTCCCAGTATTGACCAGAGAGTGAATTTACGGCGCATATCGTGATTTTCACCGTCATCTCGACTCGTTGCATGTGGGATAATATCCGACTCGTAGATGGTGACATTGGACGATGAAATATCGTCAATCTTTGGAATATTCATAATCTCGTTTTGGAATCCAGTGTTCGTCCGACAGCTATCGGGTTTGTTGGGAAGTGATGTCACGAGGCTTCACAATAGTCAGTCCCCTTAGAGCTGTCACCGACCTAAAGTTCTCTGAGAGAGTGGTATCGCGTGTGTAATCCGAAGACCGATAATCTCCGAGAAATAGAGTTTTTGAAAGTGCTCTAATTAGCATCTAATTAGCATCCCTTGGATGTGGGATTGCCGACGAGTGTTGCGTCTAGAGAGATGAATCCTTTATACTTCAGAGAGAATTTGACCTCTACTCTGACGGGATTGTATGGAATGTCCTATTGTGGCAGTTTGTTCCATTAATCACCCACTTTTGACTAGAAGATGAGTGTGAAGGTGCGCTAAAGATAAGAAGTTGAAACCTCAAAACCTTATCAATATCATTGCTTCGACATGGACTACTTCGTACATAAAATTACGAGTAGGGGGTCGTAGAGTTAAAGTTTGCATATGTAGGGATAAGACACAGGGCAACGCAACAAGAACGTTTCATCCAAACTTTGTTGCAGTTTGTTCATATTGAGGTTGTCCGTGGGTTCCCCATTGGCCGGAGAATTATATTATGCACGTGAAACATTTCAGCTAGCTTCATTCCTTACATGTCAGCCCCATGTCAATTTACCTAGTGTGTTCTGGTCATAATTCATCCTGGGATACGAGTAAATAAGACATATAATCTCCACGAGCAACTTGTCGATAGAATTGATGGAATGGTTGCGGAAGAGAGGAAGCTTCTAGGGAGTCCAACGATAACGAAGTATCGCAAGAAAGAAAATCGAATGACAGCCAACGACACATGATATCGATTCTGTCAGCTGAACCTGTCAGATTCGAAGCTCATGATGAAGAGCGCATCCGAGACTGTATCATATTAAAACCACGTTTTCGAAGGATTGGTGAGAAGAGATTCTGATATCAGATTGTCAACGAAGAGGTCGATATTCTCGATTAATTACTCATTCTTGTCCGGTTGCAACAAATGTGTCCTGTGATCGCCTGTGAAACTGTCAGTGTGAAGCGAAGCTTTTCTGGAAGCCTTGGGGAGTGAGTACAAGACCCAAGGAGCGGGATCACAGAACGAAGGTCCTCCCTCTAAAAGGGAGTAATATGAATAATAATATAGGAACCCCAGTTTTTACGATAAAATAAAAGAACTAGATTTCTTGAGTGTATAACTAATCAAGAATACATGATAATGGAGAATAATTCTGTCAGATTCTCGAAGATATCAAAATAATCAGTACTTTAGAGGGCGTGTATTTAGACGCGTCTGCATGATCACTTTTTGTGTACAAGGTGTGTTCTTAGTAGGAAAAAGACTAAATTTATTACTTACTATCCAAAGCAACCTTGGAAACGTCGCTCCTTTATCTACACATGCAATGAGTGGGTGATAAGAGCAGAACTGTCTAAGTTCATGTTATCTCATCCATCCATCAATAATTGCAAGTAGCAAAATTACAGGAAAGAGTAATTGCACTTGAAAAGTCCAAAAAAAAACTAAAACGACACCTGAGTGATTCGAACACTCGCTCCCGAGGGAAATGCCTGACTTTGTACTAGTACAATAGCAGGGCATCGCGTTAACCACTCCGCCAAAGTGCCAACTTTATTGACGAAGACGCTAACATCAAAAGATATATCCCACCATTTGTTTGCGGAAAATGAGTGTAATGGTGGGGCTGTGGGGTAACATCCACATATATTTCCGTTACCTCATATCATGATCAGTCAATGTCAAATGAAATATTTCAAGAGTCGTACTTATTAGTATTGGTGAAGAAGAAATTAAACATTCCAAAGCTTTTGATTATCTTTCGCTGAAACCTGCACAACCAAGAATTGATGAAGGGCTATGTTTCAACGGCAGCCTCCTTACAGCATTGCTCCATCTCCCGGATCAAAAAAGAGTTCACAAGCAACATCACCTGTCTAGATCTTCTCCCCGAATCAACCAGAAGAAATGTCTCCCATTCTAGTTGTACCTCTGTCAATGAGGTATCTGCCTCAATATCACAATTTTCCTCGCCAAAGTCATCGAGGTACAAGAGTCCATAGAATTACGCAATGAAGACCGCGAATCTGACCGTGCCGGATACCCAAGGGACGAATCCAGAGTCTATTCATCAAGGATAAGTATGGTCGCCGACTCTGCAGTCAAGTTACGGCCAAGCTCTACATGAGAATGAGAGCAACTACGAGGAACGCCAGTTTGGTTGAACCGCCAGGAGAACTTATTACTTAAAGACCCCAGACAGGCTTGTCAAGACAACACAGATTCGTACGCGGGAACTTATCAACGGTAAATCTATGGCAGTATCAGTCATGAGAGCACCTAGTTCAATAACTTTAGTACTGAGGAAGACTCTTACGCTTCTACTAGTACCAACAAATCAGCCGCTCGCGCGAAGATGATATCTATAACGTTGTGCTGGTATTTCATCTGCACATCAATATGGATATGGTCTTATTGAAGTCTGCAAATGAGAGTTTCTTTCTATAAACATTGCAATGTTTCTCAGGTCAATGTGAAGTCAGAAGAAGAGAAAGTAGAACTGCACATATCTCATATTCTAGATCTTCCTTGACAAATTTTTCACATTGGTTCTTCGTTAGATTTCTTTAGGATTCAAGGCTAGATTTCTATTCCCTAGGCATGACCAGAGAGCTTCTCATTTTGTATGCTGTCTCAAAAGAAGTTTCCACTCGTATAAATTCTTAGCTGTGAGCTCCAGATATTGGATTATATGTACGTATGTAGGCTGAAAAAAAGCCAGTCATTATTCTGACCAAATAGCAAACAATAACTATCAGACAGATCAGAAATTGAATACTATACAGCATGTCAGTTTTATGCCATAAGAAAGAGTTGCAATAGGTCAAACTAGACAAGAGAAAGATTCAAAGGCAGATTATCCGAGTTCATCTTTAAGACTGAGTGATTACTTTCGCAAATTCCTGAACTTTGTTATCTATGGAGTCGAATAGAGTTATTGATTCAAAGAGTTGAATATCCCTTTGATTATTTGTAGAATTCGCACATTGAAAAATTTAAAAGTGAATTCGGAGTCGAACAGATGGGAAATTTCTAGCCGAAGATTTCGACTCAATTACCTCAACAACAAATGTCTTCGACTTGATTTCTACTCTGCTCGAACTGTAGTTTCTCACACATACTCAGACTAAAGGACTCAAAGACAACGACATTCAATAGTTTGATTTGAACCATGGAATACGATTGAGTCTAGCAGGAGTTGTATTCTATATATCTGGAAAGGAATTCTCAACAAAAAGCTCCATCGAATCTTCCATCTTTCAAATTCGGCAAAGAAAAGTACGAAAGATTCACTCTGCGCCTCCACAAGGAAAACGGTGGTATTAGGATTACGATCTATTCATTATTACCAACTATTTAAACACCGTACCAAGCCCCCTACTCCTCTTTGAAACAGTCGGGATGGCTTCCTCTTCTTCCTCCTCTTTTTCCCCAGACCAAATCCTCACCGCCAGCATCTCCAAACTCACTCTCCAACCCTACCATCCACAACCACTTACAACCTCAACCATGAATCCAGCTCCATCAACCACACCGAACACCTCGCCTCCAAATCCAAATCCAACCCTGATCCAAAATACGCACTACACCATCACCAACCCCCTCACCTTCACCACCTTTCTCGACCAACTCCCCCCCTCCAGCATCACCCACCTAGTCCTCGCTCCCTCTCCCCACCTGGGCCGCATCACCTCTCTCCCCCGCCTCAACGACACCCTCGGCGATTCCCTCGGCGACGCCTCCACATTTGCCGAACTACACTCCTGGGTGACACTGCTCCAGCGTCTTTCCCACTCGACCCCCTCTCTCCGCTCCCTCACCATAATTTTCGACGCCGACATGAGCGGTCGCGATACCCACGGGTATCGAAGAGGCGTAGGTGAATGTCTCGGATTCATATGGGCCATCGCCAGGTTTCGGGGACTGGATTGGGTGGATTTGCAGGGTTATTTTCCGGCGCAGTGGCCGTGGTATTTGAGAGCCGTGTGGGCTGCAAGTGGACAGTCAACGAGGATTTATAATAGGGTGGAGGCGCCGGAGTGGGCGTTGAGGGAGTGGAGGAGGGGGACCGAGAGGTTGGATCCGAGAGAGTTTGGGTGGGAGTGAAGGTGGAGATGGAAACGAATGGAGGGAGAGAGATATGGTGTTTTGAGGGAGAAATGATTATTGCGATTACGACTTTCGGATTGGCGGTTTGATTCGGCTTATTGTGGTTCGGGAAGTCATCTATGGGAATGACGGTTGATGGTCGATGGTTGATCTCCACTCATATATGTGTGCAAATCTTTGCAACGCGGATTGTAAAGTTTATAATTGATGGATGCGGCTAATACATAGCACAGTAATAATAATAAAAGGTTTTGCTACTTTGTCAAACGATGTGTGTATGTGAATATATGACCTGCATATTCCTCACATTTCTTCTAGTAAAGTAGTCGACAGCTTTTGCGTACAGATGGCCCTGTGGTCCAGAATAAACGAAACCCCAAGATTTCCTGCTTATTATTATGCGAAGTCGAAGACATGCTGGTTTTTTTCTTAATAAAAAAATTGAAGAAGAAATTGTGCGAAGATCAGAGGTTTCCACTGCCATACCCAGAGCGCCGTAGCCAATATGCCTATCTGCCCCATTTTCCATCATTCATTTTTCATCTCTCAAGTCCCTTTCCCTGTCCGTCTCTCCTCGTCCACTTCTTCTCTCTTCCACTATCCGTTCATTCCAGCTATCCATTACAATAATAAGTCCATTTGCTACCATAGATCGTATTAGACCGTCGCATTGATTTCAACCAATGTAGACTCCACTGGTGAAGTCATCGAGATCTTCTAAAGCATATTCAATCAGATCTGGTTCCTCCTCCAGCATTTTATTAAAAAATTTGTCATCAGAAAGTTTGTGCCAATCATCAGAAAGTTTGTGCGATAGACCACCATGTATGCGAAAGCGAAGATTTTCGACATTGCCAACTTCGCGCAAGGATTTGAAGAGCTTTGATACGGGCCCAAATCCAGCTGTAAATTCAGGCATCCTGACGGCGCCGACAGTTTTGGCATTTACCAAGGCCATTGATTTACAGATGATGAGTGCACATCTATCCATGGAGAGGTCATGATCAATGACAAGATTCTGTATCGATGTAGATTGATCCCATGTAGAGCAAGGCAATTCGTATCTGTTCTTTAATATGCTCAAGAGCCGAGCTAGTTGACGGGATTTCACGGATGCTTTACAATATTTGTACATAGAGAGTGAAGCATAAATACCATTCGCTATATGTTCCATCCGCATGCGCCTTCTGACATGACGAAATTTTGGATGAAATTTCAAAAGTTCCAAAGCAGTGTCATCAGCAAGATAATGATACTCCAAATCGAGCATTAGACCCATTCCAACCGTTGGGGTCATTTGGAAAGCGAGATGGTGAAAATCCCGTATTTGGATGATGTCTCTTTTTGGATCGAAACGAAGGATTCCGTGATCCTTAAATGGCACGTAGAAAATAGGAAGAGTTCCACGAAATTTCTTTAGTGCAAGTGAACGAGAGAAGCTATCGATTCGCAGTAAGGTACGAGCTCCAGTCATACGAACCTTAAATCCAAATTCTAGAATGTCTGTACAATCCTCATAATGATACACACTCTCCATCAGACTTGGCTTCAACACATAGTTTTGCGTCTTCTCATCGCTTTCAATGATATAGGTCCACAAGAGTTCGATAACATCTTGTGGAAGTCCATAAAACTCCTTAGAAGCCGATATGACAGGAGTATTATCTTTCCAATTGTCCATCCAATTTTCCATCCAGGTCATTGGTCCAAAGACTACCTTTTCCCTCTCCATAAGTGTCTTGATCTTCGATAGAAATTTTGAGGATTTGACTTTCGAGACTATTTCCTTTGATTTTATGTTGAATTTCGACTTGGTTTTCTCTGAGGAAAAGCTAAGTCTCGAGCTGTGCACCTTGTATGTGACCTTGAGGGGACCCATTTTTGGATATATGAAGAAGGTATTTGAGATAGTTGTTAAATGATAAGAATGGAGGTTCGAAAAGATGTTGTTCTGTAAGAACTATGGAAGAGATGTGAAGAGAGATGTGAAGAGAATAATAAGAAAGTATTGGAAATTAGTATGAATAGTAGTTATGAGAAGAGAAAGTATTGAAGTATTAAGAAAGCACATATAAAATGATGAGAAACCCAAAGTCAAGAAAAATTAGATGAAGAATTGAAAAATCGATTTGTGTGGGAGATTTCATTAGTATATATAGTGTAGTACTAATAACTTACTAAATTAGGTTGTCTGATATCGTCATCGAGAGGTTTAATCGATTACCCCCTTTGTGAAAATGACTAAGCATTGTCACGCTTCAATGGGATTTTATATGCTTTGGTGCGTGGTTCTAGTGATCTTTGCTCTTTTGGGATGTACTAATATAGTAGGTGGTATGACTTGTTTAGACAATGATATGGGGGTGACAGATGTGACTACCTATCTAGTATGCAACCTTTACTTACCATGAGATCGATTTTGAGTTTAAGATCTACTTTAGCCGAATGCACACGTATCATACCAGTGACTAGTTTTAATGGGAGATCAGGGTAAAAAGAGCACGTATACACATCATTGTACCATCACTCAGATCATAGCTAAAGGATGAAAAATGCTCTTATATGTATTCAAGGGATGTATTATTCTAATTTATTTTCCTCGTAGCTTTCAAAGTTATATCTTGGTAATAAACACCCTAAACATTTATATCTATATTATCGCTTTCAGATCTTAATATTTATATATATATATATATGTATATTTTAGTGATTCCGTGGAATTTGAGTCCCAGAAGCAGCTACAGTTGACTACCGGAAGTCTGGTCTAAAAACATCTGGGTGCCGATAAAGTCGTATATTGAAAGGCTGCACGCCGAGAATACTTCAAGATTCGACAACCCGTTATATTTTTGACATCAATGCCTGAATAGATCCACCTCACCTGGATTGGATCTCATGTGCTGCTCAAATGCATCTTCCACGAGCTCTAGAATCTCTCTGCCATGTTTGGCATCCTCGATATTTACATTGGAATTGAAATATTTATCCATCCACCGAGTAACTAATCTGCGGAAAACGGCTCGAAATGCAGTTCGACCCCTCTCATTAAGGAGATGTACCGGAAGTTCATCCGAATGAGGTGGTGAGTAACAGTATTTGCCGATGAAGGACTCTATGTCGAGGTAGGCAATGCAGGTCGCATTTACCTTATCAATCCGATAATATAGAAGAGCATCAATTTCATTCTGAGGAATGTGAGGACCGTTCGAAATATTGTTGACACTGCTACCAAAGGTAAAAACCATAACACCGCATATTAGCTCTTTGCTCCGATAACGGGTCATCGCTCGTTGCAAGTTGAGGAAATTGGCAAGAGATTCGAGGTTCCATCTGAGTAAAGAGGAGAATACCTTTGGAACGACTAGAGTGCCTGGATAATTCAGCCCTCTGAGATGCCATCTCTCTGCTGTGTTACGCTGAACAGCGGTTAAATGGCGCAAGTTGGAACAGGCAAAGATTAGTCTGCTCAAGAAACTAATGTTGTGAGCTACTGCAAGCTCTTGTATTCTGTCACCGCGACTACGCTCATCAGCTGTAATGTTAAAGAAGGAGAAGAGGTGTAGGGGAACAGCGAGGTAGCGAATTTCACTGAAACATGCTGGAATCTTCCCTTTGTAGCATATCCTAATGTTACTAAGATCAGGCTCTTCCATCTTGAGAACGACAGTCGTATCTTGGTGAATACATATTGGAATCTTCTTGTCGAGAGATGGCAGCACGACTGGCAGATGCTGTAGATAAATGCTACGAATTGCCCTTGAGACAAACAAAATTGATGTGTGTTTTCTGTCAGGCTCCTCTTTAAGTAGTATTTGATTATTGAAATCCAGGCTGACTGAGAAATGACGAATTCTATGGCGTTCCGGGATACATTCTTTAATTATCATATATTGAATCTCTGCGGGCAACTTTTCGAAATGAAACGAATTGATGGGATCTAAATCCATGCTTCTAGTACTATACGGTGGCCCATGGGGTTCTCGAACCGAAATAGAAGTTGAGTATGAAGCATTTTCGGGTTTATCCTCTGTTTCTAGATGTCTTTCTGCATACGAAACTTGTACAAGACTGGCAATACTGGAAGAAGCTGGTAGTGATGCGTCGCCGGATCTGGGTTCGGCTTCAGAGTTTGTAGATGATCTTTGTGCTTTTGATATTGTAGAAGAGGTTTCTTCAACCACAAGCGTCGTAGAGGACTTCATGTTCTCATTTGAGCCTTCTCCTGGTGTAATACTTAACTCTTTGGCTTCATGGTGGGAGTATTCAATGATGATATCTGCGGTTATCATTAGTAGTTGAATCATAAACGTTGTCAGAAATCCATGCTTACCATCATGCTCCAGCTTGTGATTGACCTCGTTGACAGCATTCATCATGGAAATAGATGAGGTTAGGAAAATGACAATTAATATGGAGTCAGAATCGGAATACGTAGAATTTTTTTGAGTTTTAAATACCTAATGAATGGCACTAGGTTGGTGTGAAATGACACATCAAGAGTTAGTTATACTCAACACTAGAGAAGCTATCCAGATAAGTTCCTTGACGATCTTGAAGCTTATATCAACATCAAGTGGGTCAAATTTTTGATTAACTGGATTGGATAGCCATGAAATCAGTCTGTGGTAAACGAGCCTAGAAAAATACTGAACTTGTATGGAATGTTTTTGACTTGAGTATATCTTATGTATGTCAAAGTTGCTAAGCGATAGGAAAGGAGCATCTTTATTTGGCGAAAGGGTCAATGTGCTTTAGATTAACCTTTGATTTGGCGATTGGACATGGATATTTATTATTGAGTAGATGCCTAGAATCCGTATTGTAGCAACTAATAAATCTATGAATGTTCTTGCTTTGATAGAGTATGAAACTATTGATAATCAAAGTCTTCGTGTGAATTAGACCAGCACTGATTGTGTAACCAAAAGATTCTAGTTATCTCATCAAATTCTTGATCTAAGGAAACGATTGGTTGATATGATCTTGAATACCAAAGAGCGGGTAGGCATGGTTTGTTCAGACAGGCCAAGCCTAGATTAGCTGATTACGGAGGTAGATGTCTAGCACGTGCCTAGAAGGTTACATAGTTTGGCGTGAGGCTTCTGATTGGTCATTACCTTTCAACAGCCACCAGCTGCTGACTAATAGCTATTCATTGTCACCGTTATATTTAACTACTACCGTCAAATTACTACCACACTTTTCAATAATAGTTTCAGTGATTTAATTATTTGACACCTCGACCTGCCCAAATACTTAAATCTGTTTAGCCAATGTCTTACTGAATGACAATCAATCATGGTTTTAACCAGGAAGATGGCAAAAGAGGCTCGCGCAGCTGCTCAACCACCTGCGACTTTCCATGCCTTTTCCCTTCTTCCAATTGAATTGAGGACCATGATTTGGAACGCTGCTGAGGATTCACGGCCCGGTCGCCTCATCGAAGTCCACAACATACCAAACCATTATACAATCACTAGTCGCCCGACTTCTTTTGAATGGCATGCGATATTCTGCGGTTGCGAAAAGAGATGCTTTGAGCCTCCCCTGGCGCGAGTAAACCACGAATCGAGAAATATTGCCTTGCAAAGGAGATCGAAGTGTTTTGGACAGTGGGTGGACTGGGACAAAGATATGATATTCATCGGCAGTAGAGTTGGACATTTGCACAATACTGGGTTTCTCCACGCATTGGAAGTACAGAATTGTCGCGAGAAATTGAAATATCTTGCCGTCGACTTTGATTGCTGGGAGAACTCATCTATCTTTCCCTGCACACGAAAGGTGGAATGTACCCCGGCTGCGATGATTTCACGATTACCGGGACTCCAAAAAGTGGTGCTTGCTCAAGCTTCGGGTGCTTGGCGGGATGGCAATGAATTCGAGGCACATGATCCTGGCCATTACCACAATATCTGGAGAAGCTTTGACGGAGTCGAGGCTTTTATGAAAGAAGATTTCGATGATCTTGTGAGATCTGAGAAGGAGAAACACACAGAGTGGATATTAAAAAATTACTACAAAGGCATTGATGTCCGGAAAGCTTTGCCTGAGAAGGTTGACAAATGGAGATGTTGTGACGAGATTCATGAGGAGATTGGCGAGAATCCGGGATCATACAGACCTGAGTATGTTGATGAGTATAACTACCACTATGGTGGAAGTTGTGGAACTGCATTAATACAATTTGAGAAGATTAAAAATGCCTACTGGTGGGGCACTGGCGATGACCAACACGATTACCACTTTTTAAGGGATTGGATTCAAAAGGACTTTGATAAATTGAAGTCGATTTCCGGGAAGAAATTTCACGGAGATCCTGATTATAATACGTGGAAGCAACCTGAGATCGATTATGCATTAATACGAAGAACGGCCCCTTCTTGTTTCACTGAGGATTGGGAAGGTCTTGAGCGAGAATGGATGTATTATGGAGAGGCAGCCTGGGCGAGGGACCACCCTAAAAGCTACAAAGCTCGAGATAAATCTAAAGACTATCCAGCAGGTCAACATGTGCAAAAGTATACAAAGCTTTATCCGGCGTCCCAAAGGTGGCGTCTCGATGGTTAGAAGTCATCAGTAGCGATAGGTGTTTTCAACCCATGGTGTTCAAAAGTCCGGACTGGAAGATTACAGTTCAGCACTCAACGCTTGGAACAATACAGCACTGACAGACGATTAAGTTTAAGTAAGTACTCGGAATGATCTGAATGTTTTATTCTTCGGGACTGAACACTTCTAATTATCGGTTTGCAGCCTGGACTATTGGAATCCTTGTCCTCAACGATATCTTCGATATGGATGGCGATACGAATGTCTTCAATGTAACCACAAAATTTTGCAACAGATAAATACTAGCACCACAAAGAGAACATACTTCAGATACCTACGGCTGGGAATTACAGAACCTTAGCCTTACGATAGCAAGTAGCGAGACCAGCTGCCCGACTATGCTTCGGCGACATATACATATTGGGCAGAAGTTAGTGCAGAAACTTATGAAACTCTTCCCAACTTCCGAATATCACAACTGATAACGAATCACCCAATCGAGCCATAAGATGTGCAGAATATAACCTAAAAATACTGTTGCTTCACAATTCGCTTGGTTTCGTCTGTCTGTGTAGGTCTAAAATATTAAGATAGTGAGGGCGCATTTTATTGTTCACTATGGATAATATTAATCCAAGTAAGTCTTACAATCGAATGAAGAGATTTATACGAATAGTTCGAATAAAACACAATCCGCAACCAACATCTCCCGGCTCTAATTGGTTAGCAGTCACGGAATTTGGCTCGGATAGCAACAGTGATTGTGACGGATGTTCAATCAGTGCAATAAGGGCTGGTGAAACCAGATTTAGATTGCAGTGAGAATAAAAACATGTTAGCTTATTACTACAACGTGCATAGCATCAAACGATGGGCGATGATCATGGAGAAACTTGATGTAGAAATCTGATCTTAAGACTACGCGCTCAGAACTGAAACGTTTTCTTGAGCTTAGATTCCTATATATTTTAAAGTCGAAAAAAAACTCAAGGATTAATGTATTCGTCAGAATGACAATTTGAATTCAGGTCCACAAGTTCTTTTTCAACTAGATAATCTGATTTTAGGAAGAGCATAACGAACAGAACCGGAACAAACTACTAGCGAAATATACGTAAAGTCTATTCTATTTCCACTCCTGTCTCCGTCATCTATCACTATTATCACTAAATTGGATGTCGAATATTGATATCGGGGTTGGTGTGCAAGAACTATAGCTATCTAGGAAGCCACGAGATTATAGATTCGTGCCTCGATATCAAAGCACGAAAGCTATCAGCCACGGCTTACTAGTTCGCTTAGCCACATAACTCTATAGGCCCGGGGTACCTAGGTAGGTAGTCACGGGTTGCATTTATTCCCTCCCGCATGCGCAACTGCCATAACTGCGCGTAGTTTTCAGTAATCTTCACAACCATCAACTGCACCTGATCATGGATCCACCGCGTCGTCGTCGTCAACCTCGTTTCAAAATTACTTGGTGGATGCGAACCAAGTATAACGTCAAAAAATGGTTCAGTAAATTGTTCAGTACCCGCTTTAAGCTTCGTGGAAGCGTCATTCATCTTCGACATATCTATCCGCATCCATACTTAGCCCTTCTTCATCTATTCACACCCTTTCCGTCGTGGAACTTTCCGCTATCTGACCCTGTTGCCCCTTTGGCCATCGCCCATAACGAGAATCGTACGAAATTGTACGAAATTCGCAACAAGCATCATGCCACTCTGCGCAACGTCCAAGTCTGGAGAACTCGTGACACTCCACTCCGCTGTGTTTACCGCATGTATGAGATCTTGATGATGAGTGATTATATTCCGTTAGGTAGCGAGACGGAATACTTTTGGCGTCAATGGACAAAGAAATGGTCTCTGAGTTCGATACCGGATCCCGAAGATCCTGATCCGGTTCGTTGTGCAATTGTTGCATGTATCGTGGAAGAATTGGTACGCGCTTTTAATTGGAGGTTGGTTCTGGGAATGCGTCATGATGGGAAACATATTCGACGGAAGAACGAAGGTGATCCATATCCCCCATATACTCCTGTTGTCGGACCTGATTGGACACGTTCTGTGCCTCCCATTGAGCCAGATATGCTTAAGGATTTACCCTCTGAAGTGGTGGTTGAGAGTGAATTAAATTGGGTTTGGAAGAACGTGGATCCGAGGAAAACTTCGCAAAACGGAATATCATCACAAATGTGGGTTGGTTTTATACAGTGTGATTTTTTTGGCGAAAGACTTTAGGATTCATGAAGCGCGGCACACATCATATAATCAACGTGACAGTAAATGCCGAAAGGTTTTTGATATGAGCGAGGCAGTGACCATGTTGAAGAGTGTGAAAGACGCAAAAAGTCTGGCTGCGGAGTATCATAGGGTCTATGGAGAGGAGGCGTTCGCTTAGCTAGGAGTTGACATCATAAAAGTATCGTTTGATCAAGAGAAATTGAGACACCAAGTATCTAAGTTCGAATGATGATTTGATTGTCAAATTTGAACTGGCATATTGAGGAGTACCACGAGTGTGAGCAGAGTCTTTCAATAAATTTAATAACCTTATGTAGTGTGTCTCTAGAAATAGCTCAATACAGGGGCCATGTGATTAACGCACTGGCAATAAAAATTGCTTGACAGACTTGGCTCTTCATGTGTTCATATTGTTCGCGTAATGTTCCTCCACCCGCCCAATATTTGTACACCTCATTCGCCCTGTCCCACATTCGAACCAAACTCCACGAGAGGCTTTTCCCTCGATAAAAATTGTATGTCCCATGAACTCCATATCTTTCCCTAGTCCAATAGTACAAGAAATGACCCAAGAATACCAAAGTCGAGCCGAGTAGCGTGATTAGAATTGTTATTGCTCCACCTCTCCTTCTTCTTGCTGGTCCTCTGTACCAGCCCCGGCCTCAGTTGCCGCCAGAGCGGTTTTGGATTCAACCTCGGAGTCAAGTTCGTTGTCTTTGGGTGCATCATCTTTGTCATTTTGTATAGTATCTTGACTTTCGTCCGGTAGTGTGTTCCCATCGTTTGAAGCTGCAATAGTTTCGGAGCTAGTATCTTCTCTTCTTGCTCGCTTCGCTAACGGCACTTCTTCTATTTGTTCATCTGCCTTACGTTTTGGGCTGACTATCATGTCAGAATCGATATTTGACGAAACATCATTTGTAGATGTGATTTGGTCATGACTCGAAAGATCATTGGCGGCTGCTTTTAAAGGAGCATCATCTGTTCCAGAGGTAGGCGAAGGTCGAGAATTAACAGCCGTTGAGGTGTATGGCTTGCTATCTAGCTGACTATCTTCAACCTTTTCTTTGGGCTGACTGTCACGAGATTCAGGGTCTGACTGGGAATTGTGCTCCGAAGCATTTGTTCCATTCCCATGAACATGGCCGTTGCCATTTTGATTTTGAGTACGCTCAGACTTTATGGAAGTACCGGCCCCATTTTGCTCTTCTTTCCCACTTGAAGCATGGAGGTATTTGGCAGCCGTGTTGCCGGGTTGGTCTTGGTCTGTGATCTGAAAAGGACTGTTGCTTAGGAATTTATGCAATATTAGTCCAGCTTCAACAATTTGAGCTTCAGTACCCTCAAGATGCTCCCACCAGTCTTTACCCTCTATCTGGGGAATTTCGCATTTTTTAGCAGTCGCGGCGAATAGAAGAGTTGTGATTGCAATAATCCGAGGGCTTGTTATGAGACCTAGAGTTGAATGGTGGGTATCGCAGATCAATGCCCATGTATAATTCCTGAGTTCTTTGATTATCGCAGACTCGACACCCACCTTTGTAAATTCCTCAAAGAAACCCACGAGGTATTTCAGCGGAGATGTCGCAGAAAGGTCGAAACATAATAACTCCAACATAAGCTCCTCATACATTAGAATGCTATCACGCCATCGCCAATATTCTTTAGAGCTGGCATCGACTTCGAGCTTCGGGTTCTTCTGGGCAATCTTGATACAGGAGAAAATGAACTGTTTAGTTCCCCGTATAGTCTCTTCGGTCTTTGTCGCGAGAAATAAAGCTGTCGCCGCAATTTCCTAATAAAATCAATTAGTATTGATTGCGCCGGAGATTGTATAACAGAGCTAATCAAGCAGAAATCAAGCAAGCAAAATCATAGTATATGGCCTTACGATTTTGATTCAAAGCGTGGTAAAGTCTACATCGAAAATGTGGCATAGAAAGACGATTCATTAAAATCAAAAGAGTTAGATAACAAAATACTTACATAGTGATGAATCCCGGTGCAACCCTTTTTGTCTAAAACCATGCTTCTGCGCATATAGAAACGATGAAAGTAAAGACTTGCGACGCTCACAGTGGTCATAGGGATGTGTAGCATATTCCCGATTGATGACATGAAAGAAACACCTTTTGCTCTGCGAATACGCTCTTCCTCGGGCGAGAGACCTTCTAGAATAGATGGAGTGGCTTTAAGCTCTGCCTCTGTGAAGAGCCATTGATCGGGAACTTTAGTCGGCATTTCTGATACCAATGCGTGCTTTGTTTGACCGAAAGGTTGTTCGGGAGGTAGGTGATGATTTGACAATCGCGGAGGCGAAGGAACCGCCGGTGGTATGTACTTCTCAGTTATAGTTGAGGCGCAAGAAGATGGAGGTCGAGTGTGGTTTGAATGATCATCCGGAAATTCGAATTCGGCAGTAAGATGTTGACCGGCGGTGGTCATAGGAATGAAGAGGTGTGATAGAATTTGATTTGCGATCGCGAGGCTGTGGTAGACGTAAAATCTTGCTTCGTCTACGGGGAGGCTGTCAACTTTAAACAAGTTTACAATGGCCTTGCAAATTCAGGTGGTGAAAACATGTACAATTCCAATTGTGCTATCGTTAAAATGCATTATCGATGGAATTCATGTCACAATACCAAAAGACAAGACAATTCAAATCAAAATCGCGATAGCTTGAATCGAGCTAGTCATATCTTAGCGTCAATCATGACACACACGTGATTTCGTGGATACGCGCCAAAATCTACCGCGTCTTGATAGCTATATCGTTTCTTGTCTACCATACAGTATGGAGTACGTATCAGCTATCATATCATTAATTCGGCTTACGATCAAACATATACCGAATGACTGGATACATTCCGCAGGCATGGCGATTACTAGGCGTGTGTCTCTAAATCAACATTCTTCAGGAGTCAGCATATCGACGGTCATGTTGCCATGCCACTTCAACGCCGACAATGGTTGTGTTATTTGACTCGATCCAAGTGATGTCGTGAAAGTGAAACCCACAACCAAGTCCAAGTGGATGATATTTGGCTGTAGCACAAGATTCTGAGTAGGTTAATTCTCATCATATCATAATTGTAGAGTTCAATGCTTTGTGGAATTTACTCTAGGGATGAATTCGAGCAGCTCATGGCGGAAGTTCCGCAATGTGAGACATTCTTTCTAGACGTGAACCGCATTTCTGCTTACGCATTCCAAGTCTTCATCGCGCCGAGCCCCAAGCTTTGCGTCTTAGTTATAGTCAGGATACCCTCATAGATATCATAAATCTATTGCTGTCATGTAGAATCAATAGCGGGTCTTCAATATCCAACATTATGATTCTATCAAATCTGCTCATAGCTTCTCTAGGCATCATTTCAGTCACCTCGTCTCAAACATCCAGTGCCACCAATGTTTGCCTAGATGCACTCTCATCAGAGCCTAATGACGCCAAAAGTTTTTGCAATCATTATTTAGTCTCGAGCGATATTCCTATCCCTTCATTTGTATCACCGTGTTTGGCCACCGACCCATCTGACAATCAGTTATTTGAATCTTGTTACGAGCTGCTTCATCAATTGGAGAACGAAGTTTCACTACCTGAAGTGTCGCATCTCGGCGTGATTGAATGGCCTGTCAAGCGTGGGGAAACATTGCCTCGCGACGGAGGCTTCTTTAATACAGGAAGTGTTCAATCAGTAACAACCAACATTGGTACATATGATAATTATGGATGTTTCGAAGATGGCACTCGGGGAAAACCTTTGGGCTCTCCACTGCTCAACCTGACTGGAACCGCCGCGGACACAATTCAGAGTTGTGTAAATGCATGTTCTATCTCGGAGCAAAATGGAACACCATACCGCTATGCCGGCATAGAGCCTGGATCTTGCTGGTGTTCTAATTATATCTCGATACTCGCTGTTAAAAGCTCTTCGTTTTGCCAATCGACCTGCCCGTCTAACTATGGCAAATACTGTGGGGGTATCGTTGGCGGAATACTTCACATGCAGATATATGAGTTAAAAAATGTGAATCCTACGTCGACGACATCTGTGAAAACGACATCTTCTTCGTCGAAGTCTTCTGTTAAGTCATCCATCTCAACGTCACAGTCAGGGACTACATCTTCATCCAAACTCTTGAGTTTGACGACACAAACGAGCAGTCTAAAGTCTTCGTCGATTTCCAAGTCTTCTTCTTCTAGCTCAACCAACCCCATTTCTAGTATATCAACAGTCCCTACAATTTCCACGACGAACAACATACCATCTACCTCTGTTTCACCAATCATCGAAATATCATCCACCACTAAATCATTCGGTTTACCTCCCGACCCTCCAACTATTCCTCCAATCGTTGGTCCTACAGGCACAGAAAGTTACATTCTACCATCGGGTACTTTCGCTTACCCGAGTGAACAATCAACTCCCACCCCATCATTCGGCTTGCCTCCCGATCCTCCAACTATTCCTCCTATCGTTGGTCCTACTGGTACCGACAGTTACGTTCAACCGTTGGGTACCTTTGCTTACCCTAGTGAAGTTTCTCCTACAGGTAAATCCAATCCTTGGGCATCTCTAACACTTGAGGAGCCTGACTTTTGGACACAAGTACCTTCTGACGCAGTTCCAGGCTTTGTAGAACCAACGACTACTCCTCAACCCATCTCCACAGGAACATCTCCCCCTCAAAAGGTTAAACGCGAGTATGATATCACCGCCCCTGATAGTCCATGGCTTTCTCTGTTTCCCCTAAACTCCCCAGAGATCCTTAAGGAAGTTCTTCCCGGCCAAGTTCCAGGATGGGATCAACACGCCATAGCTAAAGAGAAAAAGCTCAAGTCTCGGAAATATGATTTAAATGCTCCAGAAAGTCCCTGGCTTCCTCTTCTCCCCCTAACTTCTCCAGAAATTCTCAAAGAAGTCGCTCCTGATCAAGTTCCAGGTTGGAAACAACAAGCTATTGTTTCAAGATCTCATAAAATGAAACGTGAATACGATATCAATGCCCCTGACAGCCCCTGGAAACCCCTCTTTCCTCTAACCTCCCCAGAAATCCTCAAAGAAGTCGCTCCCGATCAAGTTCCGGGCTGGAAACAAAAACCCGTCTCCCCACCGCCCTCACCCGCAAAACGCGAATACGATATCAACGCCCCCGACAGCCCCTGGCGACCCGTCCTTCCCCTCTACACTCCCTCCATCCTCAAATCCGTACCCGAAGACCAAGTTCCCGGTTGGCGAGGCCAAGCTTCTGCTCCTCTCATTCCCGATTCCGACATTCCTCCACGAACTAAATCTAAATCTAAACCCAAAACCAAACATCGTCGCCAACTCGGGCCTCTCCCAGAAAATTTCCTCGAACCTCCCGGCCGTCCAGATTTCATCAAAGCCTTCCCAGAAAAGGACAAAAACAAACCCCTCCCCGCACCCTTCAACAAAATGCTCGGTGCCGTCGACCCCCAAACCGGCAAAAAAATACCCATCCCAAAGCCGAAACCCAGATACAGCCATTCGAAAATCAGCCTGCAGAAATTCCCTAGCTTGAAAGAAATCGGATTGGAACAAGACGGGAGAGAACATCTCGTTAAGGAGCGCGTAGATGAAGATGAAGATGAAAAAACCGAAAACGCAAAAAGAATCTCGGATCTGCAGAAAATTAGAGATAGACGCTATGCGCACAAACTCCATTTACAAGGAACGCCCAAAGCGTATGCGGAGATGCGCGAGGAGAGCGAGGGAAGGGTACGTAAGGGACAGAGGAAAATGAAGATGGAGGAGTGGGAGGAGAGGATTTTTAGGGGAGTGGGAGAAGAGGGAGGGAAAGGGGAGGATGGGTTGTTGGAGAGGGAGGATGCGATTGTTGCTCGGGGGATTTGGGAGGAGATGAGCAGGAACTGGGAGGGGTGGATGGGGAGGGGGAGGGGGAGAGGGAGGAAAGAAATTGGATTGGGAGGGAACTTGTAGTGGGAAGAGGAAGGGGATGAAAAATTTCGTTTGGAGAGGTGAGGGAAAAGAGTATGTACTCGGTGGGATGAATGGGGGAATGGAAGATAGAGTGGAGGGAATGAAGATTCCCGAAATGTGAGGGGGAAGCACTAGGTGACGACAGCAAGGGAAGAGGAAAGGAAGAGTAGACACCGCATGCAGAGGCGACGAAAGAATGGGCAAGGGAAATCGAAAGTGGAAGCCAAACCAAATCCAAAGCCAAACTCAAACAGCAACAAGAAACGGCCAAGTCCACCACGCAAGACGCCGGACAGGGCCGCGAGCCAGCCAGCCAGCCATGCCAGGCGCGGGCCACGACTCCCTACGCCGCAAAAAACCCCTACCGACCTCCCGCCCTACCAGCAAGCACAAGCACAACCACAATCACAATCACAACCACAATCACAATCACAACCACAATCACAATCACAACCACAATCACAATCACAACCACAACCACAATCATACAGATTTTTTCTTCTTTTTTCTTCTTTTCTTTTTCCCCCAATATACTTCAAAATTCCAGCATTTGAAATATATTCCCCCCCCCCACCTCCCCACCAAAACATTTTCACCCACTCACACCTGGGGATTTTTGGGATTTTGTTTTATTTATTTTTGTTTTCTTACTTCCCAACTTACTTCCCAACTTACTTCTCAACTTACTTCCCAACTTACCTACTACTCATTCATTCATTCATTTATTCATTTACTCACTCATTTACTCATTTACTCATTTCCTCATTTCCATAATTGAAAACCCTCCACTCTCCACCCTCCACCCTCCCCCCATATTGAAAATCACCAGTATATCTATCTATCTATCCATCTATTCATTTACATTTATAATTTCCTCATTTACAATTTCCCCATTTGAAAGCCCAAACCAAATACCAAATCAAACCAATAACTAAACAAATAAACAAGCAAATCAAACAAACAAACAAACAAACAGTAGATTCAAGTCCATTTATTCGATTCTCAAAAAGCCATCTACATATCCACCCATACATACATACATACATACATGCATCTCATATTGCACTCCAAATACCTATACTATGCTATGCTATGCTATTCAATCCTTTTCAATCCTCTCCTCTCCAATCCTCTCCTCTCCAATCCTCTCCTCTCCAATCCTCTCCTCTCCAACCAAATCCTAATCTATGATACCCTATACCCCATACCCTATACCCTATACCCTATATAGTACCTATACCCAATATCCAAACCATCTCCTATCCCCCTCTCTCAAGTTTCCACCACCCTCCACCCTCCCCTCCACCCTCCCCTCCTTTCCACCCTCCTTTCCACCCCCCGCCCTCTCCTCACCACAAAAAACCCTCACCCTACAACCCCCATCCCCGATATAATCCTCATCTATAATCATCCCTCCCATCTTCCATTCTCCCTTTTCACTTCTATCCACGCATCATACTATAGCATACCATACCCAACAAAAGAAACCAACCAAACACACACACACACACACACACACACACACACAGATATGCCAATGAGCTAGCCAAACAAAGCCAAACAAAGCAAAGCAAAACAAAACAAAACAAAACGAAACGAAAAAGTTTTCTATGCAATGAAATATAAGTCAAGGAAGATATTTTTTTTAAAAAAAACAAAGCGAACGCAATGCAATGCAATGAAACCACACCACCCAAGAGCCGTAAAAGGTAAGAAGAAAAAGAAAAATGCCCAACACCATTTTGCTATGCAGGTATCTAATATGTATTTCATATACGCTAAGAAGGAGTGTATCCATTCCAATCCTCCAATCCGTGTCCAATCAATCAATCAAAAGTTCCTAATGCTCGAACCAAAAAATGTACTGGAGTATCTGTAACAATGCTACTCTCATTATCCAACCATCTCATACTTTTTCATCCAACTCGATAATTACCACTTCACTCCTTTCGGATCAACAGTGTAGTTATATCCAATTCCACTACTTTTATCCCCTGTACAAAATAAAACCCCTCCCACTATCTTCCGATCCGTCCATTCCAGTTAAAACTAAACAGATCGCGCTTCATCATCACGGCATCATTACTTATGCAGCGAATTTCCTAAATCCCTCTACACCCAAAGTAGGAACCTCAACCCATTTCAGGTTTGGTACTCCCTCCGACCTTCTCCTCTCAACAAAGTTATTGCACTCTCCAACAATCTGCATCCATTCTGCTAACGCCCTACCCGCATATTTCGATCTCGCGAATCTATCTCTCCCCGCAAGCTTTGGATCCATAGGTGCTACTTCCTTACTCATTCCTGGAACTCGAGCGCCAAGCCATGCATGAGCTGGGGCAGGAAGACGAGGCGGTGTAAGTTTTCTTTCATTTGACACATTAGAACCAGCAGGTCCTCTACCGGCTGCGCCACCTTGGAGGATCGAATGTGCTTTTTCTAAATTTTGAGCCCATTCCAAGGAGAATTTAAAGCTATAGGCACGATGAGATGCAGTAGCTGGAGGAGTTTCGCTGTCACTTGAATTTTTGGAACGAAGGGCGGGTCTAGTTCTTGCCACAGATGTAGCTTTCCTTGCTTCCTCGAGTGCTTTCTTTTCCGTTGCAGGTTTGACAGATGTGGAAGGAGAAGCAGATGATTCCGGCGAAGAAGATAGAGATGGGATGATTTTCCCCATAAACGTCCACCTTTTCTTGTTCGGAGTAGTGGGTGCTTCGCTAGCAGGTTTGGGAGGTTCATTTTCGTTTTCTTTATTTTCTATTTGTGCCAGATCTCCTAGAAGTGACTGTCTTTTGTATGCATTAGACGGTTTTCGAGGTAGATTTGAAGCGTTATTAGTGGTCATTAAGCCATCGAATCCTAGAAACAGATTTGGCGCAGGCATTTGTGTATCATTACGGATGATCAGAAGTCGTCGGCCAGGTGCTGGATAACAAGGTGTCGTAGATGGAGGAAGGAGGTCGGAACTCTCAGCCGTTTGTTTGAGGAAGAGGTAATTTGCCCAGGTACCCTTGATCCGCGAAGAAACAATACCAAAGATTTTTCTGTATTTGAATTAGTCAATGTGCCTCACAGAAGGTGGATAAAATGCGACTCACGTATCAAGATCAGTAGCTTCCCCATCCTCGCGGCACAATCTCCAACATAACAAACGCATATAATATGCTCGGACCATGGGACACCAATGATTGAAGAACTTGTCAAATGTCTCCTCGGTAAGCAACCACTCCAAACACAAAATCTCCTTTCGAGTTTCATTATTTGTGACAAGGTTCCAGGCAGAGTAGAGAAATGCGAATAGACGAATTTCTGACATACTGTTCTGGCTCTCCAGAATCTTTCTGCAAACATCCAGCCAGAAGTGCCATTCGATGAAATCATCTTCAAATTCATGAGCATGATGGAAGCGAACAAATAGTGAAAGTGCTTCATCCATGAAGTCGCATAAAACGAAACATGCATTGTGATCATACAAGGACGTCCTTCGTGCTGAAGCTTGCATCATTTTGCTAAAAGCCTGAGCGAAAGTCATTCGGGCAGGTTCAAAGTCGGCAGGTCTTTCAGAAAGGAAGTCTCGAAGTAACATAATTAAGCGATTTTCGGCCATTAGCCTAGCAGAGTTGGTGGAGGGGAGAGGCAGAGCAGCAGCAGACGCATCGGCACCCGCAAGTACGTCGTCAAAGGTAATTGGAAGTGCTTCAACTGCCGGTTGACGATGAATTGTAGCATCCAGAGCAGTCAAAATCTGTGCTTGAACCAAAACAAATCCTGGCGCGCGCGCTTTGCTCGCAAATGGAAGATCTGAAGGCATAAATTGCTCGGCCAAGATATGATAATGTTTCGAAAACACATAGAAAAGATCACTATCTCGTCCGCACCATCTAGCAGCCCACGGGCCATACCATGGTATCTTGGAAACAAGAATTGATAATGTAGGATTTTTCCGCAGCTGATTAGACATTGTCATCACTGACGTCCAACCTAACACTCGAACATTGGGCGGAAATGTAGCAGCGACTTCTTCAGTTTCCACCTTATTGGGTCGTTTTGGTAAACCCAACTCATCGGCAACACGTTTCAAAGTGTCAGCCGGTAATTTCCATATTCGAACCAGTATTTCTGAAATGCCAGGCACAAAAAAGAAAGCATAAGCAGCAGCCTTTCCACAAAATGTGACCAGACTTGCAGGAGCATGTCTCAGTGACATTTTGGCAACCACAAAGTGCATCTGAGATGTTAGATTTTGAATAAACAAATTCCTGACATTGTGATAGACAGACTCGGCTAAAAATTGTGATCCTGATGAGTTTAGAGAGCTTGAAGATTTTCTCCCGCGTATAGACATGCGCTCAGTGCGCTCAGGAGATCGGTTAGGAGACCTTTCCGACAGGGGCGAGAATTGCGATGGTCCGAGTCTCCATTCCGGCCGTGTCATGATCATCACAATGGCTTCAAGCAGTACAGGACGATCTACACCAGATACTATTTGATTAGCACGTCCATCTAGTACTTCCAGAAGCCCAAGCCACCATTTATTAAAGATGTTAATTCTTCTATCAATATCTTCTGGGCGAAGACATCTATTAGAAGGGTGGTTGATATTATTTCGAAGAAATGGTAATAATGTAGAGCGAACGACGTTGGTTTTTAACGATAGTGATTTGGATTGAAATTTAGAGTAATCGTTTTCTAACCCTCGGAAAGCCTGCCAGAGTTCATCTCGTTTTCGAGGTGTCTCAACTCTCAGAAGCTTTTCCGTGGAGAAATTTTTGGGTAGCGGAGGGACTTTATCAATCGAAGTCCTCGGAGTAGATCTGTTATCTATTGAGCTACCTGGTAGACTGCTGGTGGATGAATTGACGGAACCGAAGCTTGCGATACCCAGTATACTACTCGGTCTCTGCCTAATCTTTCGAAGAGTTGAATTCCTCTTCACGGGAGGTGGCTTAGATGGGCTATCGATATCCTCCACCGTGTGGTCGAATTTCGCCGGAATGACT